GCCTTTGCACGCCATGTTTCTTCTACTCCCTTTGTCTAGGGACAAGGTTTTCTCTCGTCCCAAGTCTCCTCTAAAACAGCACATAGCAAGGCCTGTCCGGACCATCCCTTTTTAACATTTAATTTTATGGGCGTGTCTGTGTATGAATATGTGTCACATGTGTGCCGTGAGGCGTTGGATCCCCCTCCCGCTGGAGTTACAAACGGTTGTGAGCCACTATGGGGGTGCTAAGGATCAAACTCAGGTTCGCTGTTAAGAGCAGCCACCTCTCCAGCCCCTGACCATTCCTTTTAAAATGGCCTTTCCTGATGGCTAGGCTTTAAAAACAATGGCTGCTCTTCCAGAGGACCCATCACCTACATGGCAGCTCACAACCATCTGTCACTCCAGTTCCAGGGGATCCAATGCCCTCTTCTGGTCTCCTCAGGCTCCAGGCATGTTTGTGGTGCAGATATACACGCGGGCAAAACACCCCTACACATAAAAAATAAAATGCCTCTCTCCCATGAACAATGGGCCTTAGGGCCACTAGCTGCTATGTGGTCCTCTCCCATCAAGAGAAGTTTCCTGAGGTTAAGGGCTATACTGTTTCTTTTTCTTTATAGAGCAATTTTGTTCTTTTTGTTTGTTTGTTTGTTTGTTTGTTTGTTTTGTTTTGTTTGAGATGGGGTTTCTCTGGAACTCACTCTGTACACCTGGCTGGCCTGGAACTCAGAGACTAGCCTGCTTCTGTCTCCTAAGTGCTGGGATTAAAGGTGTGTACACTATCGACCAGTTCAATTCGTATTATCCTTAATTATGTGTAGGGTGTGTGTGCGTGCGTGCGTGCGTGCGTGCGTGCGTGTAGATATGTGCTTGTTCACTGTGGTACCCAAGGAGGCCAGGAGCATCAGATCTCCTGAAGCTGGAGTTATGGTTGTGAGCTGCCTGAGGTGGGTGCTGGGAATAGCAAACATTCCAGACACACCAGAGGAACAGATGATGCGCTTGTCACCTGCTTGCACGGTGCCAGGTCTACTAAGAGATAGACTGAGACCCCAGAATGTGGGCGGAGGCATGTGACCCTAAGGACAGAGTCTCCCACAGAGGGAACAACTTCCCCCAAACGCAGCTGGTCCCGGGGGTCAGGTTCCCCTGCACTAGAACAAACTCCCTCAAAGTGACCTTCTGTTCCACACGGCAGGAGCCACATGGATCTTCCTGTGGCAACCTGTACCCCAAGATCTGAAGTACCCGTGGGCCTGTAATCCCAGAATTCAGGAGAATTTTGAGTTTCAGGCCAGAATTTTGGGTTTCATGGGCTTTGTAGGGAGACCCTGTCTCAGAAAAAAAATCAAGAGCGGATTCTTGCTGGGTAGCGGTGGCACAGGCCTTTGATCCCAGCACTGGGGAGGCAGAGGCAGGTGGATCTCTGTAAATTCGAGGCCAGCCTGGTCTACAGAAGGAGTTTCAGGACAGCCAGGGCTACACAGAGAAACCCTGTCTCAAAAAACAGACAAAAGAATGGATTCTTTCTGAATCCTTTTTTTAAAAAAATTCTCCAGACACTTCTAAGCAGTTTAAGAATATAGTTATGAAAAAAATTCATATGTATATTAAAAACTCACTAGAACCACCCAGGAGGCTGGGACTCTTGAGCAGGGCTCCAGGGACCTCTGAATTATGTTTGGAGTTTGCAGAGGGGAAACTAAGGCCCTAGAGATGACCTTGCCTCCGGGGAGGGGTGAGGGCAGGCACTGGGAAGACAGGTGAAAGTGTTGCTCTGTGGTGTGGGGTAGACTCTAGGCCCACTTCCCCAGCAAGGAAACCTGTGTTCACAGTCTGTGCAGACTCAGAAGGGCTCCCGGTCCCCAGCCTTAAACACCCCCATCTCGGAGCCGCCAGGCCTTCCTGTTTACTCGAGGCCCCTCTTGGGCTGGGAGGCGACAGCCTTGGCCTCCTCTGCTCCCCGCTTCCTTCCTCTCCCACTTCAGTGCCTCCGGCCCAGCCGCTCAGGGGGCCCTGGGGCCAAGTCATGGGGGTGCAGTCCAGGGGAGGCATCTGAGGCCACCAACCCACCAATGCCCGCCATGGAGTATGCCCTCTCTGGGACTTGAGTCTCAGGAGCATCAATCTTACAGGCTACAGAGGACATTCCCCCATGTTGCAATAAGTAGCTCCCGGGAATGTCCCTCGAGACCAGATGACAATGACAGCATCGGTGACCTTCTGATGCCTGCCACGCCCACCTTACTAGAGCAGTGACGCCACAGAAGACCCTCGCTGCCCCCCCCCCCCCAGTGGGCTGCCACCTTCCTCTGACCTCTGCTTCCCCAACTCAAGAGTAGAGTTGGTTTTCCTGAGCTGATTGCAGTGTGATCTGAGGGCCAGCTGTCTGGAGGCCATCACCGCACCTGACCCGCTTTGTTTTGTTTTGTTTTGAATTTATTTATTCAGCCCAGGCGGGCCTCAAACTTGCCACGGAGGCGAAGACCTTGGATTTCCGATGCTCCTGCTTCCTACCCCAAGTGGCACAATGACAGGTGTGTGCCATTCGTCTAGTTTCTACAGCACTGGAGACCAAACCCAGAGTTCTCTGAGTGCCAGAGGAGCAGTCTACCCACTGAGCTATATCCCCAGCCCTAGACCTGATTTCTTTTTCAAGAGACTCATTATTTTTGTATGTGTACGTGAATGTGAGTGTTGTTGGCATCCAGAAGGGTTTTGGGTCCCCCTGGAGCTGGAGTTACAGACAGTTGTGAGCTCTCACCCCCCTCAGCCCCATGTGGGTCTCTGGAACAGAACTTTGGTTCTCTGGAAGTGCAGCAAGAGCTCTTAGCCACAGAGCCGTCTCTCCAGGCTCTGCTTTTCGTGTTTCTTTTAGACAGGGTAGCACTCTTGTGGCCCTGGTTGAGCTTGTATTCATGCTGGGCCTCCTGCCTCAGCCCCCCAGGTTGGGTTTACGGGTGCCTAGCCAACCTGCTTTTTTTCCAAGCTCCTTCAAAATCTCGGTGTTCAAGAAATGCTATTTGGCTACAGGTCAGACCTTCTTGCCTGGCTGCAAGCCCTCTCATGAACCCTACCTACAAGGAGCCTTGTTTTCAAGGCTTATCTTGACCACTTATACCCTCGATGCATACCTAGCTAGCTTTCGGTATGTAGGAACAGCGGTACAAAAGGAAGCTTTGACTCCAGAAGCCAGAGAAAGACCTGGAAGGAGGAACTGCATCAGGAATTGCTGTCCTCAACACAGAGAGGCCTAGCCCAGCTGGGGCTCAGTGACCAAGAACCCACAGAATGTGAACATGAGATCCTGCAGGGACCAATGCAATGGGTGTCCTGCATCATGCCCTGGCTTCAGCAAACTGGCCGTGAGGAACTCTGGGGAGAAATGGGAAGCCACACAAAGACTGCGCACTGACTGGCTGGGTGACAGCGCTGATCCTGCTGCTGCCAGAACAGGCTGTGGGCGTTCGGGAAACTGTCCTGACTCCTCCAGCTCATCTTTAAATCATTCGTTAGGACTGAAGTGTCTTCAGTGGCTCAGTTCCTGAAGAACAGTCGAGTGTGTTCTCGGGGCTTCAGAGGCGGGAGGAGGAGGCTGGGGCTAGAGCTCAAGATCAGCCAGGACAACACAGCAAGCCTCCTCTCAAAGGAGTGGCTTCTTGGCAGGGCATGGTGGCATAGACCTTTAATCCAGGATTCCAGAGGCAGAGACAAGAGGATCTCTTTGAGTTTGAGGCCATCCTGTCCTACACAGCAAGTTCCAGGCCAGCCAGGCCTATGTAATGAGACTTTGTCTCAAAACAAAAAGTTTTTTTTTTTTTTTTCCTCCTGTATCTCTATGGAAATGACTTTGTCCTTACAGTGTAATGCCATTACATATTCTCTATACTGTCTTATGGCTTATCAGTGACCTAGAGACCACTCTAACATACCGGAAGGTGTATGCAGGTTCTAGTTTGTTTTCTTATTTTAGCAGGGAATAGAGTAGGGGGAGGGTCTCACTCTGTTTTGTAGGCTGCTTAGAGATCCTTAGGTATACCTGGCTGCCTTGAGTTTTCACAATCCTCCTGTTTCTGCATCCTGAGTGCTGAGATTACAGGTGTAAACTGCCACTACCAGCACCCCACTTTTTAATTTTTTTTTTTTTTTTGGTGTCAGTCCTTACATTATGACCTAGGCTGGCCCCCATTGTTTTGTTATTTTTTGTTTTGTTGTTGTTGTTGCTGCTGTTGTTTTGTATCATCTCTTACATTATGAGCCAGGCTGGCCTCCACCTACCTGTGGCAATCCTCCTGCCCTGTGATAGAGGTATAAGCTACCAGACCAGCAATTAATCTCTTGCTCCTTGAGGATGACCTTGAACTTCTGATTCTCCTGTCTCTATGTCCCTATGAGGCACAGGTGGGTGCCTCCTGTGAGCTCCTGTAGAATTTTACATAAGGGACTTAGGTTTACTGAGCTCTGTATACTCAGGGATCCTGGAACCAGGTCCCCTCAGGCACTAATGCACAAAGTGATCCAGTAATGTAGAGTCTTCTTGATCAGCCTGGTTTTCATAAACTGGGGCCCACTTGAATTAATTGAGCTGTAATTAACACATAAAGATAATGGGGACTTTTCAGGCCTTTTTCTACGGCTTTCTCCTCTCCCGTGCATTTTCTGTCCGCTCTTATGCTGACCTTAAGACAACCATGTTCAGCAGGGCTTTTGAGTGGGAGTCCATGTGAGGACTGCCCGTTTAACAGATATGGCACGGACTGTGTGTGTGTGTGTGTGTGTGTGTGTGTGTGTGTGTGTGTGTGTGGTGTGCACACAGCATTGAGGGGAGCAGTTGCAGAGTTGCTTAGGGCTCCAGAGCCTTCCCCTTTCCTGAAGTCGACATAGGGGACAGAGGCTAGGTATAGAGAATTCACCCCAAACCCTAGCCCAGCAGAAGGCTGTGCCTGCTGATGCTGGCCCTCTCCTCCTAACATCCATTTGTCTCAAGGTCTTCTTTCAATACACTCACCTTTTATAACTGAAATATGTTTATTTATTTTAAAGGACAGCTCAAATAGGCAATGCAAAAGAAAAGGTGGCCCCACTGGCAGTAAACAGAACGGAATGAGCACCGTCACTCCCAGGGCAGGTGCCCCTGGGGCAGTTGTGGCTGCTGGCTACAGGCTATCTGGGTCTTAAGGGGAAGTCACCAGGGATAGGGACCAGGGACTGGTGAGCACCAACAGAACCTTCCTATGTGATGAGATCAAAGAATGAAAGAGTAGAAGAGAGGTGCCAGCTCTTCTGGGGATCTCTCCTGGTGTCCTCTCCAGGTCCCAGGCCTGGTCCTTGATCCCACATCCATGCCTATGTCTCAGGCTCCTTAATCAGCACACTCTTGCCCTAACACTGAGGATAAGGGTTACAACACAGCATGACAACTGGGTTTACAACCAGCCCAAAGGGTGGTGAGGCCTGGCAGGGCCTTACCAGAGGAGCCTTTGAATTCCTTCCTCAGGAAGACCACACCTGACCTCAACTTCCCACCTAGCTGTTATGACCACTGCACAGCTCCTGCCGCCCGGTAGCCACATGACTCTAGTTGGCATACTTGTGGCCCTTTGCCTTTTGCAGCCAAGGCCCCAGTCAGGCATAGTCCTGCTCAGGCTGGAGATGTAGCTCAATTTGTAGCGTGCTGGCCTAGCATAGACAAGGCCATGGGCTTGATTCCCCAGCACCCCAAAACCCAGAAGTGATAGCAGCACTCAGGAAGAGAAATGGAGGCAAGAGGAACTGAGGATTAAGGTTGTCCTCAGTTACAAAGCAGGTTTGAGGCCAGCTTGAGACACACAAAAAAAAGAAGATTCATTCCAGAAAGATGGTGACTTAGGGCCAAAGCCATCCGACAAGGCTATGAGTCACAGAGGCTGAACTCCAGACCCCAGGAGCAGCCTGTCAACCCAGGGACACCTAGGCTTGACATGGCCTGGCTTAAGGAATGGCTTAGGACCCCAGCAGAGCTAGATGGAGACAAGACAGCAAGGCTGAGGCACAGGCGAGAATGGGCTGGCCGTGCTGGAGCCTCTGGCTGTGGCGGCATGAATCACCTCGATTGGAAGCAAAGAAAAGGGAGTGAGCCCAAATGTCCTTGGCAATTCCTTTAGTGCTCAGATGTCCATGGGACAGGATAAAGTGGCTTCCTGTGTCTGTGCACAACCCGGCAGGGTGGAGGTGCTGGGCTTGAGCCAGGCTGCCTGGGGTCAGGGGGCAAGGGTGGGGCAGGCTGGGATCTGGCCAAGGGCTCCAGTTACTTCAGCGAGTCCAGGTAGGTGCAGACCTGGGAGAAGACACTGTCCACTGTGCCTTCGGCATTGACCTGTGGGGATACAGGCGATGAGGGCAGAGGTGCCATGGCAGGACCCGCACAGTCCCACTCCAGCAGCCACTCACTGAACTAGGGGGAGGAGGAGGAGCTGAGGCAGAGGGGGGCGTGGCCTAAGGTCCCACCGTGAGCTGAAGGTAGGTCAGAAGGGGCTCCCCACCTTTCGCACAATGCCGCGCGTGTCATAGAAGGAAATGACAGGTTCTGTGGCCTTGTAATAGGTCTCCAGCCTCTTTTTGATGGTTTCCTCATTGTCATCCACACGGCCACTGGTCTCCCCTCGCTTTAGGAGTCGTTGGGTCATGGTCTCAGGGCCTGCGTCCACATACAGTAGCAGTGTGGGCTGCCCGATCTGTGTAGGATGGACATTGTATCATTGGGACCCATGCCTGCCACCATCAATCAAGCCCTACATGAGACCTGCCCAGAATGTCAGTCCCTTCCCAGGGCCTTCCTAAAGGCACATCCCTTTAAGTCACTCGCTTCAAACCTCTTCCACAGCTCCCTAGAACTTTCAAGAGAAAGCCCAAAGTCCTTACCTGATCTAGAGCGACTGTGTCATTCTTGCTCCCCGCTCCACCGCACCGCTACTCTCCTTCCTTTGGCCTCACCAACCTACGTTTTTATCTGTCTCTACCCCATGCCAGGACAGCACAGGTCCCTCTCCCGCTTTCTCACAACTGAGACCGAGGCCAGATCCTCATTCTTGACAGGCAGTCTTCTGAGATGTGATCCTGGTATTCCTGGTCCCCCAGTCTCCCCTCGGCAGCCTCTAGGTGTTTACTTATGACTCTCCACTTCCCTCAGCCGGTATGGGAGCTGAGGGATGATGAGACTTGATAAAGGGGGCTGGAGAGATGGCTCAGAGGTTAAGAGCACTGGCTGTTCTTCCTAAGGTCCTAAGTTCAAGTTCCAGCAACCACAGGGTGGCTCACCACCATCTATAATGAGATCTGGTGCCCTCTTCTGGCATACAGGTGTACATGCAGGCAGAACACTGTATACGTGTTAAATATATAAATTTAACAGAACACTGTATACGTGTTAAATAAATAAATCTTAAAAAAAAAAAAAAAGACTTGATAAAGGATTCCGAGCAGGGGCAGGGTGAGGACTTTCAGGAAACCCACATGATGTCACTGTCATTGGCACAAGCCACTCATCACAAAGATTGCTTGGAGAGGTGTGAAGGACCAGGACCTGGCAGTTCCTAACTTCAGTTCAGTCCCCAGTACCCCTCACAATATCCCCTGCCCAGGCTGGGCCTTGCATTGAAGCTGGCGATGGCTACCTTTTAGGCTATAAAGTTCCCTCAGAGTGAGGAGCCTGCCTCTGTGTCACTGCCAGATCCCTGAGCCTGGTGTGGTCTAGACTGGGACTTCCTTGACCAAAGGTAAAGAAAGCCAGCCTTGGGCCTGGGCCAGGAGGTCTACACAGCCGTGAGACTGCTGTCCTTGGGACCCCAGCTAAGTCAGTTCCCAGATGCCTCTAAGCAGCTGTCATCCAGACATCACATCAGATTGTCACTCACAGCTCCCTCTCCTGCCTCTATCCAACCATGAAACCTTGGAGCAGGCTACTGGGCCCTCTGAGTCTGGTGTCAGCCTTCTGGGTGGGTGCAGGATTCAGGGCGACAGCATTAGCTGCCTGCGGGGAGGGTGACGCTGCCATCCTGCTGACGTCAGACAGTTTACCAGGTGCTTCTCTTAGAGTGGCAAAGGCCAACCCAAGGCTGCTGCCACCTGTCCATCAGATCCTCTAAGTCCTCTGGACCAAACACAGCAGGCTCTGTATCCACACTTTGGGTGGAGATAGTGGGGCTTGGTAACAGCTAAGTCTCTGGGCAGAACGTCTCTGGCTGGAGCCTCAGTTTCTCGGTCTGGAAGTGGGCATCTAGCCTGACACTGGCCACCCCAAGGAAGCTCTGGGCACTTCCAGGCCCACCCCTCCTCCTTCAGTGCAGTTCTGGCGCTCCCTAGTGTCAAGAGCGGAGAACTTCAGCTACTTGTACTCCCAGGGGCTGCCACCAAGCCCTGGGTGGAGCCTGCAGCCCAGGGAAGCTCCCTAATAGCTGGGGAAGTGGGGAAAGACAAGACTGTGCCTCACGGTGGCTGCAGGCTCTTCGGCCTCAAGGAAGCTAGGCCAACTCCCATTTCACAGACTGGCAAGCTAAGGGTCAGAGCAAAGCAAGCATTTTCTTGAGGTCGTTCGTTCACTTAGAGGTTGTGATGTAGTATAGTCTGAGCCCCACAGAGGAGGGCAGGAGTGAGGCTGGAGGTACTCGGACCCCAGCCCATCAGGTCCCGTGTGGCCTTCGATGGTGTGAATGTGTGTGCCAGCACAGATGTGTGTGCCAGCGTGTGGGCTCACATGTATGTACCCCTGTAGAGCACACATGTGCACATGCGTGCAGTGTACCTAGCCTTACGCACGTGTTTGCATCCTATATTGCCTACTGCCTGTGTAGGCATGGATCATGTGCACGTCTGTCTGTCTGTGCACGCGTGGGGTGATGTCCCACGGGATGAAGCCTCTCAGATCCTCACGCCTTTCTTCGAGGTGGTTATGGCAGGTCCCATAAGACCTTCCCACCTGGTCCCTGTAGCCTCCGCCTCCAATACCCCTCCCTCTCAGCTGCAGCCCAGCCCCTTGGCCAACAACCAGTCAAGGATCTTACCCTCTTTTCAAACTCTTCTCCCTGTTTCACCTCCCTCGGGTAGCCGTCAATCAGGAAGCCATTGGAAGAATCCACTTTGGCCAGCATAGCTTCCCGGAGCATGTCTAGCACCGTCTCCTGTTGGGAGGCACCGGGGGTCCTGAGCCTTCCCTCCCTGCCCCTCTGAACCTTGGCTTTTGCTGGTCCATGCAAGCTGCCCTCTTTCCTGGGGGATGTGAGCACCGCAAGACTCCCTCTGGAGGGTTAGGCTTCAGTGAACCCCCTTCTAAGCCTGGAGAGTTCCTGGACCTGGGCACACAGCTCCTACAGGCCTTCCCCACCCCCACACTCCAGCTCAGGGTTCTCAGGGAAGGGACAGACTGGGATACAATTGGCTTAGGATTCTAAACATGACATAAAATGTAGGGGTAAAGTGTGGGGGAAGAAGGGGACATGTGGGCCAGCAGGATGGCTCTGTGGGTGGCGTTTGACACCAAGCCTGATAACCAGTGTTTGACCCCCAGGAGCCACATAGTGGAAGGAGGGAACAAATTCCTTCAAGTTGTCCTCCGACGGCCAGGTGGGTACCATGGAATAGGCATACCCCTCCCAATAAACAAATAACTGTAAACTAACAGAAGGGGGGACCTCCAGCATACAGTTAGGGGGTCTGAACTCAAGGCTGGGTTGTCAGGGAGGGCTGAGTGCTGACAGAGAAGATCTTTCCAGCCATAAAGGAGCGTAGTTGAGAGAGAATTCAAGACACTGGGGGTGGAGAATGGGAGGCAGCGCTGCATTCTACAGGCTCTTAGTGATTTCTGGAAGCAACTTTTGGCTAAGGGCAGTGGGGACCCACAGCAGGCTTCAGAGCTAGAAAGGACCATAGTCATCCTTGGCAGGGTGTCACAGGCTTTGCTGGGCTCAGGTTCAGGTCCTCCACCATCCCTCAACCCGACCCCCGACAGGGCCCACTCACCAGAGGCACCAGCTGCCCCTTTTCCATGATAGATGACAGCGTCTTGCCCCTCTCTGATCCAGAGCTGACTTCTGCCCGCAGCAGGTCCCCAGTAGAGAGGTGGGTGTAGCCATATTTCTGCACAATCTTCTCACACTGGGTGCCCTTTCCTGAGCCAGGCCCGCCTGCAAGCACCCATGCGTTCAGAACCCCTCCCCCCCAAACAAATTCCTAGGAGGGACACCACCAGGGTCCTTCATGAGAAAGGAGCATAGTGCAGGGAAAAGCCCCCAGCACTTGAGAGGCAGAGGCAGGCGGAACTCTGTGAGCTTGAGGCCAGCCTGGTCTACACAGTGAGTTCCAAGATAGCTAGAACTATGCAGAAAAGCCTTGTCTCAAAAAAAAAAAAAAAAAAAGGAAGAAAGAAGAAAAGACAAAAATCCTACAGTGCCTGCTCAGACCCTCCCTGCCTGCCCACCATTCGCTTGACTATAACTCACCCACCACAAAGATGATCTTTGCTTTCTTCAGCTTCTCTGTGGAGAGAACAGGGGAGCAGGAATCAGCCACTGGCTAGACAGGCAGACAGAGACACCACTGTGACCCAGGCTTGTGCAGAGTGAGCTGGGATGAGCACCGGGTGTTCTGAACACGCCCAGACACAGCCTGAAGGCTAAGAACTCAGCTAAGAATTCCGAGGTTAAGGGACTGGGGTGGCGCCTCCCAGGGTGGGGTGGAGGGTGGAGGGGTGCTGGACCCCAGGTGTTGGTCACCTCCAGCCTTTCTGCCTTCCTCCTCAGGGAGTTCACTAGAGCTGCAGCCCATGATCCTGGTCACGCTCTGCTCTCTGGCTTGGCCCTCGCATTGCTGGCCAGGCCTAGCAGTACTAATGTGGAGCTGGCAACCACAACATATGTTGCCATAGAGATGGTTGCCAGGCAGGAGGGGCTTCTGTGGGCAAGTGGAACTCTTACTCAGACAGGGAGGTATGTAAACTCCCTAAACTGCTGTCTTTTATGACCCACAGCCCTAGCGGCCTGTGGCCTGTGTTGAGGCTGTGTGGCCTGGTAGTCTGAGTGGGGCCCTGGGTCCCATACTTGATGCTACAGAAAAATGTCACAACCCACTAGAGAGAGGGAAACTGAGGCCTAGAGAGGGAAGGGCTTACCTAAGGGACATCTGAACCCAAACTAGAACCCTGGGCTTTCTCCTGGGTTTCCAGTCCACAGGGTGCTGGGCAGGGTCCTCAGCAGGAAGCAGGCTCTCCAGGGGGAGTGCCTAAGGCTGAGTGGCAGCTAAGGAATAGACCAATGACCACCGACCTTAGGTGGCAGCAGCACTCATGTCTATCACGTTCTTTAAAGAACCACCCAGGCAGAGGCCCAGCGCCACAGCACAGTGCTGCCAGAAGCCAGAGCCCGTCCATTCCAGGCACTCTGCCTACACCCCAGAGCTTATAAAGCCAGGAAGACTCAAGACTTTAGGGTCCACCCCACTCGCTGAGTCCCAGGAAGGGCCAGACACAGATGCCTGCCCACTGCTCCATCCAACCCTCTCCTGACCATACCTCCCCACCCCTCACCCCAACCACTTGGCAGTTGAAATTGCCGCACAGCGTAGCCTCCTCCCCAGAAAAGGGCAGGCTTGGCTATAAATACCAGCAGAGGTGAGCTGTGGGGTCCCAGAAGCCTCAGGAAGGCCTTGCTGCTTCCAAGATTAGGAGCCAAGCATACAGAACAGGCTGGAGGAGGAAGCCTGGGGCCTCCTCCAACCCTCCCAGACAATCCCTGCGAGAGCCCACCCCTTCACACAGGCCAGGAGGGGACCTCATACCTTCCATCCTGCTGAGGTCTGGGAGCTACGTCAGCACTCTGCAAGACAAGGCACAGGCAGGGTTGAGGGGTTCTCCTCCCACCCCTGACTCAGCTTCCACCAAGCCCCACCCACAGCAACTGCAGGTAGGTGCCAGGCTCCCACATGCAATTTCCAAACTGAGAGGCCGAAAGAGTAGAGGGACACCCAGAAGGCAGAATGACCTTGAAAAAGTCACTTTCCTGCTGGCTTCCACTGCCTCTGTCTCCCCTCCAGTGTGCGCCTTGGTCTGCTGAAGAGGAGCGTGAAGAGCAAGCATGGAATCTCTCACAAGAGTCCCTAGTGTGTGGAGGCAGCGCCTGCCAGGTGCCTGACAACGCTCCCCAGGGCCCAGGAATGCTGGCAGGAGGCTCCTGCTTTCTTGCCTGGGGACAGGACATGTGGGCAGAGGGAGGCACAGAGAGCCAGAGACACTCCTGGGGCACAGCGCTGTAAGGGTTGTTGTTTTGTTCTGCTTGAGACCGGGGTCACTCTCTATAGCCCAGGCTGGCATCAAGCTGGCAGCGATCCTGTTGCTCCAGCCACCGTGGCACTGGGTTAGCAGCTGTATGTCACCACCCCTGGCCCTTTGTGGTCTGTTTTTAATTTTATGTGTACTGCACGCATGTAAGTACACCACATGAGCACAGTACACGAAGAGGCCTGAAAGGAGTGCCGAGTCCCTTGGACCTAGGGTTACAGGTGGTTGCGAGCTGCCATGTGGATGCTGGGACCAGAACCTAGGTCCTTTGGAAAAGCAGCAAGTGCTCTTAGCTGCTGAGCTGCCTCTCTAGCCCCTTTCCGGTTTCTAAAGTAAAGTGGTTCCTGGCTCCTGCCTGAAGCAGGCCCAAGTCTATTGCTCACATGGCCCTGCCACTCACCCCCTGGGGAATTCACTCCGCTGGCCCCTGCTTGCCCATCCTTTTGTCACAAGCCCCAACCCCTCCAGCCTCTTCTAAAGTACTTCCTCACTCCCTCCTTGTCCCACCATCCTAAGACCTTCAGTAGCACTCTTGTCAGCCTTCCGCCCTGGGTCTCCATCCCTGGAACATTCTTCCATCCTCTCACCCTGGCTTCAGGCCCCAGGGCCCTCCCCATCCTTACCCGGGCAGTCAAGTCCTATGTCAGCATGCATGCTCCCCACAGACCGTCCACCTCTGCCTGCATACTCATACTTCAACCTTCTCTCCAGACTTTCCTTTCTCCAACCTAGACCGCAGCCCACCTCCACAGAGCCCCGGATGCCGCACGCACGCACGTACGTACGCACACACACAGACATAGCGCAAAGGGCATATTTTCCTTAGCAAGCAACAATTATGTGACCCTCCTGCTCATAGTGTTTCATGTACGGCACTCTTGGCTTCCTAAACCAAATCTGAACCCCTCAATCTAGCTGGCAGGGTCTGGACAATCTGGCCCTTGCTCTCTCATCCAGTGAAATGTCTCCCCTGGCCCTCCCTCCTCCAGGTCTTTGCAGCGTTATACCCAATGCTTGGGGGGGATATCTTTCTCCAATGCTACAGGAGGCCTCAGCTCAAGTTTCACCTCCTTCAGGATGCCTTCCTAGACTGCACCTCACAATCCCACACTGATAGGTGCTCTCTCCGAACTCGTGGTTGCAGACCAGCCAGCATAGGTGTCAGAGTATTCTTTGTACCACGGGCCTTGTTCCTAGCCCTGATTGGCCTAGCAGGGGATGAACACTGGACTGGACACCTCATTCCATCCTGTCTGCCATCTGGGGAGGAAACTGAGCCTTGGGGAAGAAAGCAGACCAACCCCGGGCTGTGGCCGGGGTCAAGGTTAAGACTGGCGCCCAAACCAGACAAGAGCCGCCGTGGGCCGCTTTGCACATATCCACAGCCTGAGAGGCAGACTCTAGGCTTGCAGAGTGTGCGGGAGGCAGCTTGGAACTGCCAGGCCCCTCGGCAGCTGCCCAGGGAAGGAGGAGTGTCCCAGGCACTGGACAGCCACCAGGGTGTCCTAGGAAGTCACTCCACTCCGCCTGCCCCACCCCCTCCTGGTAATCTAAGTCCCTCCGTCCCACAGACACCTGCCACTTCCTTGGTCTAAAATAACTTAGGACCTGAGGAGGCCTCCAGGAGGCCAGGGGTCCCGGACAGAGTAAGATTACAAGCTGAGCAGCCAGGCCTTATAAGGTTCCCTGGGGCAGGGCCCCAGTGTTCCTAAAATGACTGTCTTCTAGGTGGTTCAGGGAGCAGAGGCCCCAAGGGACAACCATCTCCAATCACTAGGCCTGCTTGTCCCAGTTGCTTGCTCAGCAGAAGCCTTCACAGAGGCTGGCTATCTGATAGGGTTCAAGTCACAACCCCATCATTCAGCTGCGTGACCTTGGGCTGCTGATGCCCCCTTTCTGGCCAGTCTTGCTACTTGCTGAATCGTCCTGGGTAAAAGCAGCTGAGCAGAGCCCAAAGGCCCCTGCAGAACCCCTGATCTGGCAGGAGGTTCTGGCAGGGCTCCAACATCCAGAGTCCCCAAGTCCTTCCAACACTTGAAGTGACATTACAGCTCTTGGAGTACACAGGCTGCCCCTACCCAGGTTCTCTGTCCAGCCCCCTCCCTTAGGGCCTCAGCAGGGATGTACCAAGGGTATGATGGACCTGAAGCCCCAGGAATACCAGGTGGGACAAAGGGGTCTGGGAGCCTGGGAGGACACACACACACACACACACACACACACACACACACAAACTGCCAAAGGGCAATTCACCCAGAGCTGACAGAGCACACATGCAAATGTACACGGCTCATAACCATAGATACGAATATAAAAGACAAACACAACCCGAGGGGAGCCTGGCACTAGCACCCCCACCTTCCCACAGGTGATGTCGCCCCCACTCCCCTTGGAAGCTTGCACTCAGGCAGACGACAATGGAGCAGTCACACTGACCTGGGGGAGGTGTGGTGGGCACTGGGGCCAGTGCGTGCCCTGCCTGTCCTCTCAGCCGCCTGCAAAGGCGACTATTTATAAGGCTGTCAGCGCGCACGCATGGCATGCTGGGAGCCAGCACTCTGGCGAGATGGCAGGGAGAGAGAAAGGAGGAGGGAGAGGGGGGAAGGAGGAGGGGAGAGGAGGAAGCAGACTCTGATGAAAACCCCAGTTAAGAGGGAGCATCCCCACCGGGCACCCACAGGGACTGAACCTGCAGAGTCCTTCTGCCAGCCACACTGTGCCCACAGTGAACGTTTGTCTCCACAGACAAAGGTTCTATAGCTGAAGAAACTGATGTTCAGACAACTTGTGTGTGTGAAACCTCACAGTGTGTTGGTGGCAAAGAGACCAGACCAGGGAATTAAGGGAGGAGACCAGGGTGTAGACTTTGGGATTCCATGGTCATGGTCCTCATGCTCTGAGTCCCCTACCCTGAGACATTTCTTTTATTGGAAAACAACAACAACAAAAAAAAAAACCCTCTTTGAGCTCCTCTGGGTTCCCAAATATCTGGCTGTTAGGTAGATGGGCCAGCCTTGAGCCCATGAAGCTGCTGGGCAGTGCCCCATAGCTGAGCACAGAGATAGGGACTTTCAGAAAGCTTTGTGGATCCAGACTGGGGGGCGGGGCTGTTGTAAAGTATGAGGGCTCTCATTGGTGAGCACAGAGCAGACTCCAGCTGTGCCCAGGAAACCGCCTAAGCACGGAGCAGGACCCAGAGGCTGCCTGAGGCTCACATGCCTACAGAGAGCTCTACAGGACAAGCGGTATAGGGTGGTAGGTACTCGAGGGCACAGCTGGACCGTCCGGGTACCATCCGGGTTCAGAATTCACGTATCTGACCATCAGACCACATAAGACCTCCAAAGCAGTGGCTCCAAATGGCATGACGAGAAACTGGAAACTATTTTGTACATGCGAGGGAGCCAAGGAAGGTTTGGTTGATGCCCGAGCACCAGCAGCAGCCTCTGTACCCAGATCTAGTCCCAACTCTGCCACCTTACTCTCTCAGTGGTGGGGGCTGGGGCAGATGTAGTGAGCCAGAGGTCCTGGGTTGGTCTGAAAGGCCCGCCCAAAAGACTTAGATGGGTGTGTGCATTGGCACAACCTTTGGGGAAAGCAGACCGACAGTGTCATCCAAACAACTGCCAGATCCTACTTGAGACACTCATTTGAGCCAATACCTGTGGGAACAGGGTTTCTACTGGAAGGTCCTAAATCCCAGCCAGGACTGACAGGAGCCATGCAGGAGGCCTGGGAGGTGGTGACTGTCATAAAGTCTGACTAAAACAAGACACTTGCTGGGGTAGCAGGCCCCTTCGTGAGAAACATGATGCACACCTGCCCGGGCCGATCTCACCTGAGGAAAAATTATTCTGGATGCAAGTGGAGCAGGGGCTGTATGGAGGAGTGTGCATGAAGCCCTGGTCCACACTGCATAAACTGGGTGAGGTGTGCAAGCCTAGGATCCTGGCACTAGAGGAATAGAGACGGGGGATCAGAAAGTCAAGGTCATCCTTGGATATATAGGGATTATCAGAATTTAAGGCCATCCTGGTCTACATAAGGGGTTCCAGGACAGCCAGGGCTTCATGGAGACACTATCTCCAAAAGCTGGCTCAGGGGCTGGAGAGATGGCTGAGAGGTTAAGAGCACTGGCTGTCCTTCCAAAGGTCCTGAGTTCACTTCCCAGCATCCATGTGGTGGCTCACAACCATCTATAATGAGATATGGTGTCCTCTTATGGTGTGCAGGCATACATGAAGGCAGAACACTGTATACATATAAAGTCTTTTTTAAAAAAAAAAACAAACAAACTTTTATTAAAAAAAAAAAAAAAAAGCTGGCTCAGCTGGACATGGTAGTACATGCCTGTAATCCCAGCACTCAGGATGCAGAGGCAGCAGGATCTCTGTGAGTTCAAGGCCAGCCTGGTCTACAATTAAAGTCTAGGACAGCCAAAGCTACACAGAGAAACCCTGTCTCAAAAAACAAAACAAAACCAAACAAACAAACAAAAAAGCTGGCTCAGTGATTAGGAATACTTGATCTTGCAGAGGACCCAGATTCAACTCACAACTGTAACTCCATTTCTAAGGGCTCTGACCTCCAACAGCACCAGGCACACACGTGCTGCACAGACATCCATACAGGCAAAGCACTCACGCACACAAAAATCTAAAAAATAAAGACTAGTAGCATGCGTGTGCGTTGGCTCGGGGCGCTTCTCTTGCAGAGCCTGACCCCAGATTTCTCCTCTATACTTTTCCCCGCTTTTGCCTTTCCTCTCCCCACCCCCTTTTCCTTTGAGACCTAATCTCACACAGCCCCCTGGATCCCCCGCCTGCTTTGTGCTGGGATTACAAGCACACTCCACCATGCCCAGTTTCCTTGCTGCTGAGGATGGAGCCAGAGCCTTTTGCGCACTAAGCAAGCTGTATTCCAACTGGGCTGTACCACAGCCTTTTTTTGTAATTTTCTTTTACATTCACTGTGCGTGAGGGGAGGCGCACACGCGTGTGTGGACACACGTGCCACAGCACACTTAGAGCAGTCGGAGGACAACCTGCAGGAGTCGGTCCTTGTCGCCCACCCTGTGGGTCAGGGGTTGAGTTTATGTGGTCAGGCTTGGCAGGAAACACCACCACCTGCCGGGTCACTGCACCTGCTCTGCGCTTTAATTTAATATATGTACATACATATACAATTAAATGTATTCATTTTATGTGTATTTGTCCTGCATGTATGTATGTGTGTGTAGTTTGGTGCTCACAAAAGTCAGAAGGTGTCAGATCCTCTGGAACTGGGATTACAAATGGCTCTGAAACACGTGGGGGTTCTGGAAATCAAAGCCAGGTTGTCTTGCAAGAGGCCCTGCCACAGCCCCACTTGTGAACGATAGTGTGAGTACTTAGAATCACACTCAGGTCCTTGAACTCTGAAAGAACAAGTGCTCGTAACCACCAACCCCCCTCTCCGGCCGCCACCCCCATGCCCGAAGGCCCTTTTCTTTTTTCTATTTTCTTTTTTGAGACAAGGTGTCCCTTTGCAGCCCTGCCTGTGCCGGAACTCACTTATAGACCGGGCTGGCCTCAAATTCACAGAGATCTGCCTGCCTCTGCCTCCCACGTGCTGGGAGCATGTGCCACCACGCTGGCTTTAGGATTTCATTTTTAATTTACGTGTATGTGTGAGTGTACAGCATGCATATTCAAGACCATGTAAGGACCAGAGGAGGGCGTCAGGTCCCGTGAAGCTAGAGTTACATGCGGTTGGGAGCCACTGGAGGTGGGTGCTGGGAACTGAACCCTGGTCCTCTGGAAGGGCAACAAGCACTCCTAACCACTGAGCCATCTCTCCAGCCCCTAATGTACAACATTTTATAACTAGAAAATTCTAAATCATGAGCAAATAAAAACGAAAGTAGTTCAGAATACTAAAAGAATATTTTGAGGGCTGGGGAGACGGTTCAGCAATTAAAGAGTATACACTGCTGTTCCAGGGGAACCAAGTTTAGTTCCAATCACCCACAACTGCATGACTCATAACAGCCAACAACTCTAGCTCTGAGCGAGAGCCAACACTTCTGGCTTCCCTGGCCACCTGTACTCATATGTACATGCCCACACACAGACACATAATTAAAAATAAAATTAAATATTTTGACTACAGAAAGGAATTCCAGGGCTTGAAAACAAACCCCATAGTGGTGAGAGTGAGAGAGGTCCAGATGACCCTGGGCCAGCCACACTGAGGCCCACAGCTGGCTCAACTGTGGGTCAGCACTGGGATACAGGGGTGGGTTTGGCCCAGGAACGCTGGCGGAACAGGAAGACCAACATCTGAAGGAAACATCTGGAGAGGAAGCTGGAAAGGGAGAGACTTGGAAGGTGTTTTAGGGGAGATTAGACATGTGGCTTCACAGAACCCCTCCAAAGGAGGGCAGACAGACCCAGGGGCTGGAAAAACCTCAAATGCCAAATGAGGTAGCTTTGCTTCTGGCCAGGGAATGAATGGGGAACTATAGAAGATTTCAGAGCCGTGAAGAGGTGGGCTCCAGAAGCCAGCAAGTATCCAATGGATTCCACCCGAGAACTGGGGTGAGGGCTCTAGGCCCTGGGACCTCTAGCTCTCAGCTTAACTGAATTCCCAGTAATGGTCCACATTCAGCATCTGACCTTTTCACACCCACCTGTAGGCAAGCAGAAGCAGCGTCAGTATCACGGGATAAATTCTATCCAGACACACTTGGCAGGGCAAGATCCAGTTTCCCAGAAGCCTTTGCATGGGGGGTTAGCAATATGCTCTATCTGGAGGCCCACACAGGGCTCAGGATACCCCTATTATGACACTGTTAGCTTCTGCTTCTCCTCGATGCCTGCATCACAATGGTTGTTCGGCTCCTGGTTCTTCCCCCCTTCTAGCCCCGTCCAGCCTGCTGCTGTCCCATGAAAAGCAGCAGACAAGAAGCACCAAGGCTTTGCCACCCTTGGGTGGGTATTTCTGGCTACTGGCCAAGTAGCCCTGAGTCTCCTCCCTTGTCACTCCCTACTGTTGCTGTCACAGTTACTGGTCCCAGCTAACACTGATTCACTGATGTCACCTAATATGGTTTGTGGCATCTGATGATTAATGGACAGCACGGGACAAGGAACAAATCCTAAGTGTCTCTCTCGCCTCCCTGCCCTGGTGGCCCACCATCTTGCTTGGCTGGGAGCCCAGGACGGCTCTCTTTCTGACCACCTCAGCAGCCTGCCCTTGTCTCACACAGCCTCCCTTTGTTAGGCCTTGCTCCCAAGGGTATCTTATCTGCTGTAACAGGCTGTAATTTCCTCTCTGGAGTCAGGGACCCTTCACCTCCTGCCTGTCTGGTGTAAACAGTCCTTGTGCTAAGAGGCTGGCAGCCATGCATACAACCTGCCAAACTCACTCTACCTGGAAGGATGTTTTCCCGCCCTCTGGCCCTGGGTCCGTGTTGACTTCAGGTCCCAGACCATTGCTCTTTCCCCATAGCCTTTCTCCTGCCTCAAGACTCCTCTGGAGCCTCAACTCCCCTCAACTTGTCAGAATTCTCCTTGGAATTCATGATGCCCTTCCCTCCCTAGAACTACTGTGGGTAGTATTTAACCACAGATCCTCTCAGAGACAAAATGCCTTGCCCAATGGCACACAGATCTATTGGGTCTGGACACAGGACTCCGAAGGCACCGGAAACAGAGGATGGACCCTCCTCTTGCAAGTTCCCAACCCAAAGACTACAGACTGTTCCTCAGGACACTCCCAGCTCGGGGAGAGGGCACAAGCAGGAAATGCAGACTCAAGACACAGGACTGAGCCGGGGCTTAGGTGTGTTTATTTCTGTATAAATCATTACAAAACCACATCTGGGGCTGCCGATGCCCCCATTACCTCAGTGTGCAGGGGCTCACAGCTGGCCAGTCTCCTCCCACTCCTCAGCCTCCTCATGGCCATTACCTACCGCCCACCTAGCCCCAACCTTAATAAAGTGCTTGAACAAGAGACAGAACCCAGGTTACCCAGCTCCCATCTCTCTAGTCTCATCTCAGACTTGGGGAGGACTCTTCTCCCCGAAGCCCGAAGCCTCTCCAGACAAAGATTGCCAGGGGCCCTGGTGAGGCTGGCATACCCCTTCCTCTGCCCCAAAGGCTCCTTGGGCAGCAGGGAATGCTCTCCTCCTGGGGGGAGGGGCAGAGATATCTGGCCTTTCTAGAGCCAGGCTAATGGCAGCTGGACCGAGGGGAGGGGCTCAGGAAAAGGCTTCCTGTTTGTCCCACTTCTGTCAGAGCTCCCCAACCACAGGGGCATCTGCACAAAAAAATACCCTAAAGTTTCTAGAAGGAGGTGGGGAAGGGCTCCCCAGGCTCCCTACTCCTCAGGAAGTGGAGTCCCCCGTCGGGAAATGGCAGCTGGGGGAATTTACACTTAAGCACAATGGAGAGTGAGGGTCTCTGTCTGCACATGGGAATGTGATGTCATCACTGCATGCCAGGAAGAGAAGAGGGCCTGTCCAAGGTCCCTCTGGAGGATGCCAAGAACTGGACACCCGCCTCCTACCTCCTAGGCCATACTACCAATTCTAGAACTCCACAAATTCTCTGGCCCGACCTCCTGGCAGCTCCTTACCCCATACAGCATCTGTGATTCTGGCAACTGTGGGGCAACACCAGTCCCCAGATCCTTGGGGCAGGAGCCCATTGTTCCAGCTAAGGAGGGAGTGATTTAGAGCCCATTCCTGGGGCTCTGAAGCAAGGCCTTATGGGAAAGGACATGTCCTAAGCTTCAGACTTACTCAGAAAGACCCCTATACCCTGATAGACTATGCTCAGACCCTGACTAGATAAGAAAGACCCCGACACCCGATTAAACCATACAGAATTCCAAATCCCTGATTGGCCAACAGATAACTCCAGCCCTAATTGGCTGGAGGAAAAACCCTCATCAAGGCCCCCGTTTGACTGACCGAGAAATACTCCAGCCAGCCTGAACTGGCTGGAAGATGGCCACGGTCGAATGGTTGGGCCCAGAGCCACTTCTCCCGTATCTGTCTGAGGTCCATGGACAGGATGGCTAGGTCCAGGAGGGGTGGGAGAAGGTGATGCCATAGAGCTGGGCCCAGGATGAGAAGACCCTCTTCTCGGTGATGAAGCGGTGGTGGTTGCCCTTACGGCTGTGCTCATTCTGGATGTAGGTGACACACTCATCAGGCCCCTTGGGCTCATAGTAGTGGTATGGCATGCGCTGCAGGCGGGGCTGCTGGCTGGGCACAGCAAACAGGGAGTCAGGGACATTGTAAGGGGTCTTTCCATTTCCACCCCTCACCTGCTTCAGTGCAGTAACTCTCTGCCCTTCCTCAAACTTCAGTTTCCTCATCTATAAATATATAGGTATGTGTGTGTGTGTGTGTGTGTGTGTGTGTGTGTGTATACTGTATGGTAGACTAGGTTTGTGGAACCATCAAGCTTCTTTTCTTCTAAACAAAATGGAAACTTTTTCTTTTCCCGGCAGGGCAGCAGTCGGGGCTGGGGGCGAGGCAGTGATTAAGAACTGTGGACTCAGAGGCCTGACACCCCTTACAGTTTCTGAGAGACCTTAGGTGCCTTCATTAAATGGCCTCCTCATGAAATCGGGAGGACAGATCCCTGGCATTTCGTGAGGAGTAAATGAGGCAGGAGATGATGCTTGGTGCAGGGTCAGCACTCAGTAGAATATGGGCCTTTCATAGTCATCACCTCTGCAGAACAGCACCGGAAGCCCTGCCCCAGCAACGTCTCCAAACCTCCCAGCTCCACCCTGTAACCAGCCACTGGGCGTGGTCCCCAGGGGCACTGGCCAAGCCAGCTCACCTGCAGTAGTCGGGAGGGACCATGCCATACACGTGCACGTGGTCACACAACTCCACCGCAATCACCATGGTAAACCAGCCCGTGCTCAACCAGGAATGGGACTTCTCCCTGGGGGCAGAGAGGAGTCACAATGAAGGGGCGTGCAGGCAGGGACGGGGAGCAGGCAAGAGGATACGGTCAGCCCCACGGAGGTTCCCAGCGCTACCCACAGTCCATTCAGGCTCTCCCTCTATTTCACACACCTGTGCACCACCCACTGTGCCAGCACTCACGCTGGCAATGAGGAGGGGCACGATGGAAAGAGGGCGGAAACTCAAGAGGCTAATTACACAGGGCAGGCCAGGAGTAACCATGACTACAAAGCATGCTTAGCAGCAGCTGTGCCTCCCCTGGGACCAAATTCCTATGGGGATGCTAGAGAGGACAATGCTGAGATGAGCACAGAACACAGCATAACGGGCAGCCAAGACCCTGGGGCTACAGCAGCCACCGGCTTTGTTGGCTTAACAAGCACTTGATAGGTGCTATGTCAAATACACACTGGGGTCCTTGGGTAGCCTGAAAAGCAGAATGTAGACTATGTCATTCAGGATGTTTTGATGTTGACTACATCTTTTTAAAAATTATATACATAATTTATATATATAATGTTATGTATTTTATATAGTCATTTTGTTTTGTTTCATTCATTTTGAGACAGGGTCTCTCTGTGTAGCCCTGGCTGTCCTAAACTTGCTATGTAGATCAGGCTGGCCTCGAATTTACAAAGATCCACCTGCTCCTGCGTCTCGAGTGCTTGGATTAAAGGCATGCAGCACAACAGCCAAATACAATATTTATATATTCATGTCTTGTGTACGTCCGTGTGCCAGCAGACAGCAGAGGGCATTAGGTCATGTGGAATTAGAGTTACAGGCAGTTGTGAGGAACCTGATGTGGGTGACGGAAACAAAACTCAGATCTTCTGGAAGAGCGCAGGTGCTCTTAACCACTGAGCCTCCTCTCCAGACCTAATTATATTTTACATTGAAGACAGTTTGCATGTATTTGAGGGCTCACTGAAGAAAACTATACTTCTGACAAGTCTGACAAAGAAAAAAAAAGATGACACAGTTGCCAAAGACAGGAATGAAAGAAATGACTACACTCCCTTATGAATGCTAAAGGAGAAGGCCATAAATAACTACATACATAAATCTGGCACCCGACAGAGACTCCGACCCCTTTCTCTCCTAGCAGGGGTCGGAGGGTTGAAAGGAAGGTAGAGGTATTAAGAAATCCAAATAAATTAGAATTAAAGTAGCATCAACAGAACGGGGATGCTTTTCAGTGTGTGACCCTGATACTCATACCTAGAAAAAAAACAACTACAGCAAAGCAGCCGGGGTTGAAAATCCTAGCTGGTGCAATGAGGCAGGAAAAAAAAGAAGAGGCAGAGATTGGGGAGGAAGAAAGAAAACTGTATCTGCATATAACATGATTATTAGTGTGTGAAAAATCCAAGATTCTACAAAACTGTCCTAGAACTAGTGAGTTTAACAGTCAACATATAAAAACTAATCTTTTTTTTTTTTTTTTTTTTTAAACTACACACTAGCAAGAGGACCAGCTGGTGGCTCAGGGGCACAGCACTCACTGTGCAAATGAATGTCAGGACCCCAGACCCCCCAGCTCCCACCTAAACTCCAGGTGGGCATGGTAGCCCATCTGTAATTCAAGGTCCCAGGTTGGGGACACAGAGGTCCCCAGAGCAAACTGCCTTGTCAGTCTAGCCGGAACAGTGAGTTCTGGGCTCAGATGAGTTTACTCAGTATATGAAATGAAGAGTGATCCAGGAAAACATCTGGCCTCAGCCTGGGCACTCTAAATGCCTGTGTGCACATATGCATGCATACTTGGACACAATATCCACATGCACAGACACACGTCCACATACAAACACATGAACACACATACATGTACACAGGAAAAATAATCTAACAATAACTGGGAGCTAAAAATAAAAACTAAAAACTATCACTTGTAATAGCTACAAGTCTTTAAAAAGAATTAGGTGTAAAAGGGGCTGGAAAAAGCCGGGCATGGGTGGTACACGCCTGTAATCTCAGCACCCGGGGAGGCACAGGCAGGTGGATCTCTGTGAGTGCAAGACCAGCCTGGTCTACCCAGGACAGCCAGGGCTACATGAAAAAACTCTGACTCAAAAAAACAAAAACAAAAAAAAATAATAAATAAATAAAGTAAATAAAAAGGGGCCTGGAAAGATGGCTCGGTGGTTAAGAGCACTGACTGCTCTTCCAGAGGGCCTGGGATCACTTCCCAGCAACCACATGGTATCTCACAGCTGCCTGCAACTCCACTTCCGGGGGATAGAACACCTTTTTCCAACCTCTTCAGGCACCGCGTATGCATGTAGTGCAGACAGACACATGCAGGCAAAAGGCTCATACAATTATTCTTAAAAAAATAAAATAAAATAAAAAGGTATAAACCTACCACCATATGTATAGAAGCTGTATGTTGAACATATTTTTAAATTACAAAGTTAAACATACCCTGTATTATTATTTTCATCAGCCTTTTGGACAAAGCTACCATTAATCGTACCCCACATTGTCTTTTTATAGGAGGGCCTGACCAGGCTTCTAGGGAGGACTAGTCAGAGAAGAGTACGTTAGAAAAGATGTTTCCTCAGAACAGGGAGTGCTTGAAGCAAGGCATGTTGGGAATAGTCTAGAGTCTAGACTCCACATTAGGCTCCAGACTATGGTGAGAACCACTTAGAACACTGGTTCTCAACCTGTGCTTTGCTACCTCTGTGGGGCCGAGTGACCCTTTCACAGGGGTCACAGCAGATAACTGCCGATCAGATATTTACATTAGTACTCATCACAGCAGCAAAATTGTAGCTATGAAGCAGCAATGAAAACAACTTTGGTGGTTGGAGTCACCACAGATGAGGGACTGTATGTATTAAAAGACTGTAGCATTAGGAAGGTTGAGAACCACTGACCTAGAAAAGCACCAGGAACACCTATCTACATAACCTTAGCACACAGCATTCTGGGAGCCGCTCGTCCCTTGGAATGGAGCATGCTGGGAAGCAGGGATGCAGCCATGGCCAACACTCTGAAGATGACCCACCCTGACAGCTGAAGAGAACGGGGTGGGGGGAGTGGGGGGGTGGGGGGGAGAAGGGGGGTGGGCAAGAAGTGACTACACCCTCAACACAGTGCATGCTGGGAGTATTGGGCCAAGGACGACAGCAGTGGGCAGGCGGGAGGCTGGTACCTGTCCTTGCCCGTCTCACCCCGGAAGAGGTCGTCAAACTGCTGCATGCGGGTGGGAGAGACGGCATAGGCCTCCAGGTTAGGGAACGCCTGGCCTGCCCGCTGGATGACGCGCAGGAGGCTGCCCTGGGGCTTCTGCATCTTGTTTGGGGGGCCCCAGAAGATGAACACAGTTTCAGGGGTCCGGTTAACAAACTCCTGGGGCTTCCGCAGCACACGGAACACACTGGAATGCGCCACTACGCGGAAGGTGGTTTTGTTGCCAACGTCGGCCGAGTAGCCAGTGGTGGGCGCATCGTTCATGCGGATAGTGCACTCTGCCCGCTCAATCTCAGGGCCCAGTTTGGTGCCCAGCAGGTGGCTGGAGCTGGTGATAATCACACACTGGTTGCACCGGGAAGGCAGCGTCTGTGAGGCAAGGAGGGAGGGACCGGTATCAGGGTTGCTCTGTGCTGGGTCCTGCGCTCTACACAGCCAGGCTCCGGAGAGCCCGAGGTATTCACAACCTTTCAAAGTGCATTCATCCTAGGTTCTGCAGACTCCTAACTAGCTGGGGACAGAGCGACACTGGGCAGCCAGTTCCTCCCTCGAGATGTGTGCCATCGTGGGCTAGGGTCAGATGGAAGGGGACTGGGGGAAGGGCATGCGAGAAGAGGGAGGGGAGGAGGGAAGAGGCTACAGCTGGGATACAAAGTGAATAAATTGTAACTAATAAAAATAAATAAATAAATAAGTAAATAAGATGTGCGCCATCTGCGCACCAGCAGAGGCTCTGGAGGTCCCAACCCTCCTTTGAGGCAGTTTATGGATGCTGGGGGAGGGGCTGAAGGAGTGAGAAGGGGAAAGAAGAGAAAGTAAGGGAGGATAGAAGATGACTGAAATATAGGCATGAAAATGTCCCAGGAAACCCGTTATATAACTATATAGGCTAATAAAAAACTTAAAACCAAACCAAAACGGGAAAGTTTAAGTTGGGGAGACAGACAGCATAATACACAATAGGAAAAAAACATGGGGGAGGTGATCAGAAACAGAGATGTGGCTTCTGTAGAAGACTTTAGGGCCACACCTGAAGACTGAGCTGCCACTTAGGGAAAACTGCTCCGGGCCAGAGGGACAAGCACAAAGATAAGCCAGCACAAAAGGCAGAGGCTGGCAAAACCGGCTGCCCAGTGAGAACTCTCCCTCCGAGTGCCAGGTCGTTTCCCACAGCCTCCAACAAGCACCAGTGCCCGGACGGGAGAAGTGCTAAGGCAGCCTCACACTCCTTTTCCTTCAAACCACCTATACTTGGCAGCTCCACTTTCTTCCCTTCTGCTCTCTCATTCCTCTTAACACCTACTATGGGATCTCTTCCCAGGGAGAGTGTGCCCAGAGCCGGTGGACAAACAAAGGTTCTGAAGAAAGCTCAGCAAGTGAGGGTGGCCTGAATATACAAATTTTACAGATACCCTACGACTGGTTAACTAAGCAGGTCCACTGAGGTTAGAGTGCCGAATTCTAACCATTAGAGTCCAGTCACATGACCTTTCTGTAGCTGCAGTTTAGCAGGGGCCGGAAGAATCTCTGGCCTCCCACGTCAGCAGCTGACACTCAATAAAGGGCAACCATTATTGTTCCCGCTTTCATGTTCTGTCAGCAGCTGGCACTCAATAAAGGGCAACCATTATTGTTCCCGCTTTCGTGTTCTCCAGAGCCACAGCAGTCTCCTCCCAAGCTCATGGCGGCATGTCCCTAGTGATCCATGAAAACCAACTATGACTCAGAAGGTTTTTTTGTAGTTTTTTTTTTTTTTTAAACACAGGGTTTCTCTGTGTAGCCCTGTCTAGTAAGAACTGTGTACTGTTTAAAGAACTGTTTCTTTAAACAAAAAAACAAAACAGAAATGTTATGGGAATGTGTTTTCATTTTAGTCCCAGGTGTGGCAGCCACAGGCTGTTTCTCAGCAGCTGACTATTATTTGCCCCATGCTCTAGCAGGGGTATGCTTTTGCCAGCTGCAGAGAGTTTCTGCAATTGTGTGACCTTTGGCATCCCGGGAACTTTTCAGAGAAGATATAAATGCTGCTGTTGGCTGGCTGGTGGTTGGATGCTGTTGGCTGCAGTTTGTCAAGCAGTCGTGCCCAAAGAAATGAGAAGAAATTAGACATCCTGACATGGAAGATCAAACTTGCCCCAAGAAACTCGACACTCTAACCAGCAGAAAGTAGTCTAATGATAACTTTGCCCCTTTTCCCCCCTTTTCCCCTTTATCTTTTTTTTTTCTCTCTTCTCTAGTGTTAGAGTAAGGGTGGAGGTGGAAGAGAAAAAAAAAACCCACAAAGTAGCAAACTCCAGCTGCAGCCCTGGCTGTCCTGGAAGTCGCTGTAGACCAGGCTGGCCTATAACTCACAGATCCCCTTGCTTCTGCCTCCCAAGTGCTGGGATTAAAGGCGTGCACCGCCACACCCAGCTAGAAGATATATTTTAATTTTTAAAATCACATTTGTAGGGCTGGAGAGATGGCTCAGTGGTTAAGAGCACTGACTGCTCTTCCAGAGGATCCAGGTTCAATTCCCAGCACCCACAGAGCAGCCCATACAAACTGCCTGTAACTCTAAGATCTGACACCCTCACACAAACATATCATGCAGGCAAAACACCAATGCACAAAAAGGAAAATAAAAATAAAATTGCATTTGTGTGTGTGCATATATGTTTAAGGGAGGCATGCATGCCACAACACCTGTGTAGGTCAGAAGACAACTGGCTGGAGTCAGAGTTTTCCTTCCACTGTGTGGGTTCTATTGATGGATCTAACTCAGGTCATCAGGCTTGGCCACAAGCACCTTTACTGACCTAACCATCTCACTGGAACAAGATAAACTTTTTAACACTAAAGACGGGGCCCTAGAGAGAGGCCCTGAGGCCTGCTGCAAAACATTTGACCAAGATCCTGCCCCAAGCAAAGGGCCATGATCTTGACCCATAGGCCTCTTCCATCCCCCCTAGGAGGCAGAGGGGCATCAGAAAGAAGGGTTGGGAGCTGGAGCTGGCATGTCACCGGCCGGGGAACTCTCCACCCAGGCTGCTCTACCTTGTTGCCGAGGATGGGGAAGTAGGCGTTGGAGAAACTCCACTTCTTGAGGTTAACAGGCCGACGCGTCCGGCCCCGCAGGGAGCCGTAGTGGAAGACCTCGTTGGCACTGTTGGAGCTGTAGAGGATGAGGATGGTGATGAGGGCAAAGAGGACCACAAACACTGCTGACCGCTGCTCCTGGGGAGGGAAAAAGCCACTGAGGGTCCAGGCACACACACGACAGGCTCAGGGCCCCACCTGCCGGCGTCTCACCATGCCTTCCGTGCCAGACCAGATGAGTTCAGCTACCACGTCCTCAGCTGGCATTCCCCGTTTCATGTTCCTTCTTATGCCCCCTCCCCCAGGCCTAGGGCCTCCTGTATATGAGACAATTACCTCTGAACTATCTTTCCAGTCCAGTCATGTCGCTGGCAGACTGCTATCCCTTCAAACTAGACCTGTAGCTCTGGGTCCTGGTGCTGGCGTGGCCCTGTTCCCAGGCTGAGGACTGCAGAAGGGTTCTCAGGGAGAGATCATAGCACGGTGTTGCCCAGTTACAACCCCAGTGCTTTGAGGGCTGAGGCCGGAGGATTGCTTCAGGGAATGAGGCTGCACCCGTGCTACACACACAGAGGCTTCCTATCTTGTTATTAGTCCCTAATCCTGTAAGGTTTGTTTTGTTTTGGCTCAGGCCACCTCCAAGTCACTATGTCATCAAGGCTGGCTTTGAGCTACTGCTCCTCCTGCCTCCACCTCCTAAGTGCTGGGAGGGCAAGCAGGCACCACGACAGCAGCAGTTTCTGCCGAAGACTCCGGGTTAGGCATTATAAGCTACCTAGCGATGATAAGCTACACAGAGGATGTTTGTGTGTGTGTTATAGCCATGAAGAACTTGAGACTACACCCTTGGATTTCTGTCTCCTCAGGAAGCAATTTGTTATAAAAATGAAGGAATATGACACTTTTCACTCCACGGTCATCTGTTTTTTTGCCTGCTTGGTGAAAATGGATCTGGGCTGGTTAAGTATTTTTCCTTGCCAAAGCATCTTAAGATTTCAAGGCAGAGGGCGCTAAAGAGACCCTGAAGGAATAAAGGCAGCCTGGGCAGGTCTCCCTAAATCTCTTTGGTTCCCACGGGGACCACAGGTTATTCAAAGTTCAGCTCTTCCAAGACATTCAACCATCCGGCAACACCCAGAAGCCAGTGACTTCCCGTTGGAAGTCTATGTAGTAGGAGATGCAGGCTACAGCTGTGCTACCCCCAGCTGGGCCTGCATCTCAGCGCTTGGGGAGGGGGCTTGCGTCGGTCTCTGACCTAACAATCAGATTGCATCCTGATCAACCCACTGCAAGTAGAAATATCAGGAGAGAGACGAGGCGTCTAATACTTGCAGCCCACTGGGCAGTATCCTAGCTCAGCAACAACCACTCAGCGGGGTGTCAGCTGCCTCCTCAGGGGCTCACAGGAAGCTGCAGGCCTCCGTCTTACCCAGCATCACCAGAGTATCGCAATCAAAACGTCAAAGATCACAGTGCATGTCCCACTAAATGCTTTTTGTATCACCAAAATTCAGAAAGTCTAAGAGCCTAGGAGCTAGGGTTGTGGGTCAACTAGCATGCCTGAAGCCCTGGTTTGATTTCCAGCATTACACAAACCAGGCCTGGTGGTATAGGCCCAGTTGGAGGCAGGAGGATTAGAAGTTGTAGGTCATCTGAGGCTAAATAAAGAGGCCAACCTGAGATATACTGGACCCTATCACACACAAACTTTTTTTCCCCCTAAGTCTAACCATGACAAGTCAGAGACTCCCACATTTCCTTTTGTTAGTTTTTTTGAGATAGGTTTCTCTATTTAGCCCCGGTTGTCCTGGGATTAATTATATACACTAGGCTGGCCTTGAACTCAGAGTGATCCCCCTGCCCCTGCCTCTGAGCACTAGGATCAAAGGTGTGTGCTACCCGATTTCTGTTTGTTTGTTTTTGAGACAGGGTTTCTCTGTGTAGCCCTGGCTGTCCTGGAACCCACTCTGTAGACCAGGCTGGCCTCAAACCCACACAGATCCACCTCCTCTGCCTCTTGAGTGCTAGGATCAAAGGTACATGCCACCACACGGGATTTTACCATCATTTCTTGTCGATCCACGCCCAATTCTCATTGATAATTCTTTGTATTAAACTATCCCTGCCAAAGGACTGTGTTGTCTTTCCCCTGGACTAGACTAATAGAACCACCTGCCCCACTTCCAAATCACACACTCTGCCAAGGAGCCTGGGGAAACATGTTTGGGGATCAAACACATAGTAGGTGCTCAGGAAACATGAACAAATACATAACGAGGATTCAGGTACTCTGACTGAACACGGCCATTCCCCCTGCTCACCCCCCCAACCCATTTCCTGCACAGCACCCCATGGAGGCTTTCACAGCCAGGGCTTTCCCACAGACAAGTAAGTGAAGCTTTAGGAACCAGAGAGAACCCTGGGCCTTGAGAGAAGCAAGAGCCTCCCACATCACTGGACCTCTCAGTGGCGGAAGCAGAGTTTGAACCCAGGTCTCCTGCATGCTGACTCCTGTGTGGTTTAGAGTGATGGTGCCATGGCCAGGGCAGGTTAAAAGGAGTCCATTTCACAGAAGGTTGCGAGCAGCTCAAATGGGAATGAGAAATGAAGGGGACTTACTTTGTTGCTACTCATCTCTCTCCGGCGTCTGCTGAGGGGTAGAGGCCAGCGTCCTGCAGGTGGCCCAGGGGGCAAGGTTGTGGGGTCACACCTGCAAGCCACCAGAAAGGGTTATGGCCAGAGGCCCTCCCCTGAATGCGGCTGGATCACAGCTCGGGGCTGCGTTCATTTTGTCCCGGTTCCCACTCATACTTCAAGCAGGGAAGATCGAAAAGTTTCCCAGATCCTTGACTCCCTCCAGGGGCCACCTCACAGGGCTCTGAACCATCTGGCTCAATGCTCGGTCATCGGCCAGTGTGATCTTGGGGGCAAGAGCACAGCCATGATTCTCAGAGGGATAGTGTCGTCTCTCTGCTGCAACCACAGCCTTAGACAGGCCTTCCTGCCCGGCCCAGCTGTGTGCCTCGCTCTCTAACCCTCTCCTCCCACAGCTGGGCCTAGCCCTTGCACACGTCCATTCCCCCACCTGTAAGCTGGCCATAAGTACTCGGATCCAGGCCACCTCCTCCAGCTGAAGGCAGAAAGGGATTGTGTAGAAAGGAAGAAAACGGAAGCTCGGAGGGGATCCCCGGTTCAGAGGGTTCCCTGCCGGTCCTGGTCACTATCTCCGCCCCCTGACCTAGCTGCTGTTTACTCCCACACCAGGAATAGCTGGAAACCTCAGGCCAGAGCGCCACACACTCACCCTGATCCTGATTGGCCAGGCCTGGCCCCTCCCATCGCCAAGCACGATCCCGCCCCGTGGCGATAAGCTCTTCCCTCCCTAGGCTTTGGGGTTCTCCTAGGCGATCCCTGCACCTCCAGCCCAAGAGACCCCGGATTCCCACCTGTCCCCACAGGGCAGTTCAGGACACCAAGGCTCAATCGGAAGGGAGGCGCGTCTTGTCCTTGGACTCAAGCCGTTATAGGGCAAAGGACAGGAACCCAGAATCCGGAATCTTAGGGTCGCTCCATCAGCCCTGCCACCTCCAGCATTCAAAGCGCTCCCGGGGCTGGCAGCAGCTCCCAGACAGACCTCGGTCTTACTACCCTGTCCTGCGCATGCCCCGTGCTCCAGACACCTGGAGTACTCCAGGTCCCAGGCCCACGCTCCGCTTTCCCACCTTTGCCTGAGCAGTGCCCTCAGCCAGGACCACGGTCCCCCTGGTCAGCCCCGTCACGGTCCTGCTCTGAGAAGGCCATGGTCAGAACAGCATATCAGGTGCCAGTGCGAATGTCGGGTCCACACTTACTGGCTGGGGGGCCTCGAGCAAGCCATGTGACCTCTCTGAGCCTCAGTTTCCTCATCTGTGAAACGGGAATAAGAACTGGTAACTACTGGGATGGCCGGAAGGAGACATTCAGATGTGACCAGGGGCGCCCGGGGCTTGAGAGTGCTCAATCAGATGTCCCTAGCCTTAGGGCTACTCCGTTCAGTGCCCGCCTCTGCACAAGCCGGTTCCAGGTAGTCCCGGAGCCAGGGACTACCTCTACCTGGGAACAAGCCCCAGAGCCACACGTTAAGCCTCGCCGGCCTACAGAGTCCTCCTGACAACGCCTGGCAAGGTGCTCTTGCTCCCCATTTCACAGATGAGGAGACTGAGGGATCAGCGAGCCAACACGCCTTCCAGGCCGCGGGAGCAAGCCGGGGGCAGCCTCGTAGGCTCGTTTGTTTACAGGGCGGAGCCTGAAAGGGTCTCCCAGGGGGGGTCCCCCTCCAGCCCCGGCGTGCGCCAGACGTCCAGTTAGGCACGGAGCGGACGGGCCTGGCGGGGAGCGGCTGACTCCGCCGGGGAGGTGGCAGCCTGGAGCCTAGACCCAGCCCCGAGGCTGGACGTGGGGAGGCTGGGCTCGGAGCCGCGAGTGAGGGCCGCACCCTGAGCTCGCTCTGGGGCTTCGTTTCTCTAGGTACCGGGAGCCGGGGGTCCCCAAGTGCCGCGTGGGGGGCTCTGTCACGCGCCCTACTGCACCCCGGGGTCGAGCATCCTGACCCCGGCTCCGCAGGGGAAGGGTGCGGGGCCGCGGCAGGGTCCCCCCATCTCCAAGCGGGTGGCCCCGAGAACCCCACGAGCGTTTAGATCTCGGGGTGCAGTCAGCAAGGAGAGTGGGTCTCGGGGAGCCCCGGGGTCCCCCGCTTTCCAGCGGCTCTCTATCCTCCGAGGCGCAGGCACAAGCACCCTCCCCCTTGCCCGCCCCCGCGCCGCTCCCGCTCACCTCCGCCGGGGAGCGCCCGGCCCCCGCGGCCCCCGCACCCCCTCACATGGCGCCGGGAGCCGAGAACCAGGGTCCGCGCTGCCCAGGCCGCCCAGGCCCCGCCGCAGCTCCGACCCGTGGGGTCCTAGCGCCGACGCTCGCGGACCGGGCCGGGGCCAGGCAGGAGGGCGGAGCCTCCGGCTGCGATTAGCCCCGCCCCAGGGAGGTGCCAGAGAGGAAAGATGCTCTCCAGCGTCCCGCAACCCCCACCCACCCCATCCGGAGTCTGGCCTATTTCTCTCTCTCCAGATGGACGCCAGGACCTTGGGTGGGGAAACTGAGACAAGGAGGTCACTGGGCTCGAACTCTAGCCATTAATTCCCTGGGCTCCCCAACACTCAGAGCTCCTGCGCAGCCTGATACATTACTTCATTTCCGTACCCCAGAAAATGGAGAGAACATGGTCTCAAAACGTAGCTTCCGCTGGGTCTGGTGGTGCAGGCCTCTAAGCCCTAAGCCCAACACTTAGTAGGTAGAGCCCTGTTGCAAGTTCAAGGCCAGCCTGGTAGACAGTGAGTTCCAGGCTGGCCAGGACTGCATAGGGAGATCTTGGCTCAATCCTCTTCATCCTTATATTGTATTATTTTATGTAACCAAATGGAAACAACCTAGGACTGGAGAGATAGCTCGGCAGTTAAAAAAAAATACTGGCTACACTTCCAGAGGACCTGGGATCCATTCCTAGCACAGTCCTAGGGGATCTGACGCCCTCTCCCGACCTCCTTGGGAACTGCACGGGTTATGTGGCAGCAAAACCCGCCATTCATGTAAAATAGAATTAAGAACTGAAAAAAGTAAAAAGCCACTTGACAGCTGCAGAGATAGTCAAGTAAACCAGACATGATGCCATGTTTTTGTTTTTCCAGACAGGGTTTCTCTGTGTAGCCCTGGCCGTCCTGAAACTCACTCTGTAGATCAGGCTGGCCTCAAACTCAGATCCACCTCTGGCTCCCAAGCGCTGGGATTAGAAGCCTGCACCGCCGCCGCCACCACTGCTGGGCAGGGATTTCCGTTTTTTAATATTATGGAATCTTCACACTGTGGGATATTACACAGCACGCTGGTGAATCTTGGAGACCTAAGGAGTGAAGAGTGTGGCCAGGCAGTGGTGGCGCATGCCTGTAATCCCAGCATAGGGCCAGGGGAGTGGAGAGAGGAGAATCAAGGCTATCTTCAGTTAAATGTCAAGTCTAAGGGCAGCCTGGGCAACCGAGACTCTGTTTAAGAAACAAAACACCCGTCTTCTTCCCACCCCCTCCCAGCCCCCACCTCCTGCCCTGTCAGGGTGCACCGCTGCTCGGCACCGTGCCTGCCTGGCTGCACACTCCCGGCCATGGTGAACTTGGACTAAACATCTACAACTGTAAGCAGACCCGCAATTAAATGCTTTCTTTTGTAAGAGTTGCCTTGGTTGTGGTATCTTCACAGCAATAGAACACTGACTAGGGCACAAACAGACAAAAAAAAACCCACACACCCCCGCCAAGAGCAGGACGTAGCCTTCACCCGTATCACTGATTAACATTTTAAAAGCACCAAGACGCGTGCACGCTACAGTAACCATGGATATTGAGTTCTAGAGGCTTATAGTGTTCCTGTGCATTATAATTTATGAATACAGTGTAGACAGCTCAGCCTATCTCAAAATTGGAATATCACAACTTAAGGAGAAAAGTCTCTGCCTGGTGGCTTACCAAGTTAAAAAAAAAAAAAAAAGTGCTTGCCACCAAGCCTGAGGACCTGAGTTTGATCCCTGGGACCCACATGGTGGAAAGAGAGAATTCACTCTTGCAAATCGTCCTCTGGCCTCCTCGTGTGCACTGTGACATTCTCACCCCCTCCTCCACTAGGTAAATAAAGAAAAGGTAACAAAAAGAAAGGTGCAAAAGAAGATTGCCGAGGGTGGTGGCGCATGCCTTTGATCCCAGCACTTGGAAGGCAGAGGCAGGCAGAGTTCCAGTCCAGCCTGGTCTACAAAGCAAGTTCCAGGACAGCCAGAGCTGCACACGGAGAAACCCTGCCTCAAGAGGGGTGGGGAAGCAGAAAGATTAAAAATAAGATTTTTTTTTCTTGTTGTTCATTATGATAACATGCTTGGGCATGCCTGGTCTCTGAGACCACCACAGGCTGTTGCAGAGTATGTGGGAGTCAATATGACTCAGGAACTGGTGTTGGTTCAAACTTTGGGAGTCTGGCCTCAGGAAGTTTTATGTTAGGATTCGTGCAGTGGCACGGCTTGTCAGCTCAGCTACTGGGGAAGCTAAGGTAGGAAATCTCAAGTTCTGTGCTATCTAGCCCCCAAAATGAAGTAAAACGTGAGGCGCAGTGGCCCGTGAATATAATCCCGGCACTCAGGATGGGGAGGCAGGAGGATCAGGAGTTCAGGGCCAGCCTGGAGCTCAGACTGGGCTTCGTGAGACTATCTCAGAACAGCATGCTTATTTTGTGGAATGTTAGGATTTGAGCTGCTCTTTTTCTTCCCTTTGGGATTTGTATTACCCAAAAGTTTTTGTTTGTTTGTTTGTTTTTCAAGCTAGGGTTCCTCTGTAGTCATGGCTAGGATCAAAGGCATGCTCCACCATGGCCTGGCTAGCCAAAATTTTACCATAATAGTTATACAATCCTTTTTTTGTTTGTTCCGTTTGGTCTGTTTTTTCTACCACCCCCACCCCACCCCAGGGTCTCTTTCTGTAACCTTGGCTGTCCTGGAACTCACTCTGTAGACCAGGCTGGCCTTAAACTCAGAGATCCACCTGCCTCTGCCTCCAGTGCTGGGATTAAAGAAGCCACTGCCTCCAGGCTTGGTTTGGTTTTTAAAGATAGGGTTTCTTCATGCAGCCCTGGCTGTCCTTGAACTGGCTCTGCAGACCAGGCTGGCCTCAGATTTACCGAGCTCTGCCTATCTCTGCCTCTGCCTCCTGAGTAATGGGATCAAAGGCCTGCACCACCACCACCGGCTTGTTTTTGGTTTTGAGGCAGTCTTTTTATCTAGCCCTGGCTGTCCTGGAACTTATGTGGATGACTAGGCTGGCCCCTCCCTCCTGAGAGCCAGGATAAAAGACATAACCACCCCCAGCCACACTCCTTTCATAGACAAGGTGGCTTGAAGCTGTAATGCCAGCAATCAGGAGGCTGAGGCAGGAGAATCACCGAATTTTGAGGCCATCTTGGGACACAGAGTAAAGCCATTTTTAGAAAGGAGTCGGGGAGTGGAGAGATTGCCCAGTAGTTAAGAAGACTGCTGCTCATGCAAAGAACTCAAGGTAGGTTCCCCGCACCCACATCAGGGAGCCCACCACCACTTCTAACTCCAAGGGTTCTGATGCTCTCTTCTGGTCTATGACAGCACCAGGACAGACATAATTTACATCCAAACGACCATCCAACCCACAGGCGGGCTCCTCTGCAGGAGGATAGACAAACTGATAGAGTAAACTCTCTCTCTCCAGCCCCCAGACTTTGCCTTTTTTTTTTTTTTTTCTTTTTGGTTTTTCAAAACAGGGATTTTCTGATTGTCCTGGACTCGATTTGTAGACCAGGCTGGCCTCGAACTCACAGAGATCTGCCTGCCTCTGCCTCACCCTCTTTGAATACAATTAGCCATGTTTGTAAATGCACTGAAAAAGCATGAGATAGAATCCACAATGAACTGAGGCGGTAACTACTAGAGGTTGGTGGGAGGGGAGCGCTGCCATTACTTTTAGCTTTATAAACTTCTAAGTTGTTTGCACAGCATTAATTTAGAAAGTTATGGTTGGTTGGTTTGAGACAGTCTTACTAGCCCAGGGTAGCCTCAAATTTACTATGTGGCCAAGGATGACCTTGATCTTCCTGCCTCCTTCCAAAGTGTTAGGATTATAGGCATGTACTGCCGTGCCAAATCTACTTTGGCAAGTTAATCACACTTTGTTTTTAGTTTGGTTTGGTTTTTTGAGACATTTTTTCTCTGTGTAGCCCTGGTTCTCCCAAAACTTACTCTGTAGACCAGGCTGGCCTCAAACTCAGAGATCTGTCCACCTCTGCCTCCGGAATGCTAAAGTTAAAGGCATGTACCACCACTGCCCAGCAGTAACACTTAAAAAAAAACAAAACACTTTTTTTATTACGGTAGGTGTGATGTAACTGGCTGCTCTTCCAGAGAATCTGGGTTAGAGTCCCAGCATACACAAGGAGGCTCACAACCATCTGTAACTCCAGTTCCAGGAGATCCAATGCTCTCTTCTGGCATCCAGGGGCACCAGGCACACATGGGGTACACAGATACATATGTGGGCAAAACACCCAAATACATAACATAAATGTATTAATTTTAAAACTGGAGGAAAAAAGTGAGTGTGTGTGGTGTATGCATGTGTGGTAAACTCCTACCTCTAGCCATGATGGGAAGCAGGCAGCCCGACTAGAGTGGACGGAGGACATAGGAGCCCTGCCCTCTAGTGTCCCCCTTACTGCTCCCTCAGCCATCTGCACCCCAGGCTTCCTGCCCCTGCCCTGCAGCGCAGAAAGGAAACCACAGTGGGTGGTGCTGAGGAGGAAGACGGAAGGGCAAGCAGAAGGGCAAGCGAACAATTTGATGAACGTCACTGCTAAGTGCTCAGGGACCAGAGGGCTCTCGCAAGCTAGCAAGGACGGCAAGCAGGGTCCCCACCACAGCCCCCCTCCCTACCTCAGGCCCTGCTAGGGACTCTGAAAACAGAATGGAAGGATGCTTAAGCCCAGACCCAGACCAAAGCAGACCTGGAGACCCCTACTTCTGGAGCATGCCACTGTCCCATTGATTGCTGGACTTGTTCCAGGAACGCTGGCTTCTCTTCCTAGTCTCCAAGAACAGTAATACCCCCTTTCTGGTGCTAATAATGGAGTTGAGAGTCAGAGCACACCTTTAATTCCAGCAGAAGCAGGTAGATCTATGTGTTAGAAGCCAGCCTGGTCTATAGAGTGAGTTTCAGGACAGCCAGGGCTGCACAGAGAAACCCTGTCTCAAAAAACGAAACAAAAACAAACAGGGGTGGGGGTCCATAAGGTCCTGTCAGTGGGGTGCTTGCCTCTGCATTAAGCCCTTTTAAACACCCCTCA